AAGGTACAATTCCCAATGAGAAATGTAATTGTGTTGTATACCTACAATGTACCAATAAAAGAATTTAATACAAAAAAAAAAGAAGTAAACTTCTATTGTGTGAAGCCATTGAGAATTGAGAATTTGCTTATTACAATAGCCAGGATAACCTAACTAATACAAACCACATGTAACTTCTTCCATGACCCTATTGAACTCTTCTCTCTGGAGAAGTGCATTCAGCAAAGCTTTCTCCTTCAACCATCATGAGCTGTCAGGAAAGGGGCACATTTTCCCAATAGCCTCACTGTTCCCACATCATAAGCAATTTTTGATCCAATGAGATCCACCTTACAGTTTTCCTCATCATACTTTCTGCCTTTGAAGGTGAGGAGATTACTAGCAAACAAAGAAGAAAGGTAGAGGCAGCTCTCTATGGAGCTGGGCTGGTAAAGGAGCCAACTGGATCCTGTTAGGAGGGACAGGAAAGTCAGGCAGAAGGGCTGAGGGAGGGGACTAGTGTTTGGCTTCCTGTGGGAAAACCTGGAACAGGCACAAGGCTGTGTGAGAAACTTTTCATTCTCCCCTCAGAGCCAAGCCAAGAAGCAGGTGCTGGTCCATTTTGCATCTGAGGCAGCAAGGAGGTCTGGCTACCGGGCCAGTGAATTGCACTTTGTGTACCTTTATGCCACAGTGACACATGTCACTGTGGACAGATGGGCAAATAAAGGCAGATCCTGATGGGAGGCTGGAAGTAAAAACTGGCTGGCTGGACTCCTCAGTCATAGAAACTGCTCCTGAGAAGGCCCAGTTTGGGTGTGCTGCACCTTTCCAGCAGAAGGAAATCACAGCTAGGTGCTTCCTAGGCCGGGTGGTGTGGCCTGGGGCCCTGCAGAAGCCCAGAGAACCTATTGGTGGCTTGGCATTGTTTTTCTTTTCTGCATAACTTGAGAACTAAGCAATCAGTTTGCCTCATTTGGAAATAATACTAAATATAAAAAATAACTGATATTAACAACAATAATAAATACTTAAGGAGCATTTATGGCCAGCAACTATTCTATGTGCTTTACACAAATTAACTCAGTTAATTCCAAACTCTCTGAGGTGGCCATTCTTCTAATTCCATTTCACAAATGAGGAAAACTGAGTTCCACAGAGGTTACATTTCTTGTCTGAAATCACACAGGTAGTCTGTGGCAGTGCATAGGATTTAAACCCAACTGACTTCTGAGTCCATGTTTTTAGCCATTAGGCTGCCAGAGATTAGTGGCTGGTTAGTGCTTGCCAAGCTGGTCACCAGGAGGGACAACATATAGTAGGCTCCTGCACCTTGCTCTTCTCCTCTGCTTGGCCCCCCATGGGGACTCAAAGAAGTTAAAGAGCACTCTTTCAGGTTTGGAAGGAGGCAGGCTTTGTGTGGTGGCAAAACACTGAGTTAAGAATGTATGTCTTAGTTATCTTTGTGATCTTGGGCAAGTGGCTCAGCTTTCATTCCTGCACTTTTATAAAAATGCACCCCTCTGCAGATGAGAGCAGCTCTGGGTCTCCACCTCACCCCAGAGGGAATGACTGCTATCGGGAAATCAACCAATAATAAATGTTGGCGGGGCTGTGGGGAGAAGGGGACCCTTCTCCATTGTTGGTGGGGGTGCGGACTGGTGCAACCACTGTGGAAGTCAATGTGGAGATACCTCAAAGAACTAGAATTGGAGGTCCCATTTGACCCAGCTGTCCCTCTGCTGGGGATCTTTCTGAAAGAATTGGGAGAATCGTACTGCAGTGATGTATGCGCACCCATGTTTATGGCGGCACAGTTTGTGATAGCTGGAACTTGGAGGCATCCCAAATGCCTGTCAACTGGAGACTGCATACAGAGGATGTGGTTTTATTTGTAAAATGGAGCACTACTCAGCCATAAAGAATGAGAAGCTGGCAATGTTTATAGCTGTATGGATGCACATTGAGGCCATACTCTTGAGTGGGATAGATGGGATACACATGTGTAAATACCAAATAGTTTCTCTGATGTGAAAGACTGAAAGTGTAAATAAGGTTCAAATGGTATAATTGATAATGGGAAATAGGAAGTAAAGGTCTAAAGGAGTGGGGGAAGTGGGAAGGGTAGGGGAAAGGAAAGAAAGGAAAAGAAAAAAATATGAGAAAAGGAAAAAAGGTCTCTGTAACTAAGGAAGGGTGGTGGAGGTGAAGGAAGAGCAGGGAAATGGGGAAAAAATAAGAACTAAGATATACCATGTAAAGGTACAAGATCCCAGGCCGGGGATCTAGCTCAGTGGTTCTGCCGCCTGACTCGAAAATGCAAGGACCCAAGTTCGATCCCCAATACCCAAAAAAAAAAGGTACAAGATCCCAATGAGGTATGTAATTGTATTTTATACCTAAAATGTACCAATAAACTACGTAAAAAAAAATGCACCCCTGGTCAGGCAGTAATGAGGCATACCCAAGGAGATCTATTCCCACTCCTATCACCTAGGGACACTTTGGTGAGTAAGGAGGGTGTGAAACTGGCCCAGGATTCAATTCCAGTGGATAAGGCACTGTGGAACACACACTGTGCTAATGTTGATTTCAGTGTCGGATCCACACAGGCCAGTGTGCTTCATCTCCAGTCCAGAGAAATAAAACTTTTACCATTTCTGAGCAGCTGCAAGCAAGGCCATAAAAATAATCAGTGGGGTACAGACTCACCAAATAGAACCAGTCCTCACCTTCTCAACTGGGGGCTCAGGACAAGCCTGTTCCTCAGAAGGTGATTCTGAATCTGCAGGGACTTCCTCAAGTGCACATAGTTGAGTCAGTGAGTAATTATTGCCACATGACTGAACCTAGCCCTCAAGCTGCTCTTCCTACCCTGGCTACTCCCCAGGGTCCAGAGTCAAATGCCTAATTTAGAGCTGAATCACTTTCTCTCTCTCTCTCTCTCTCTCTCTCTCTCTCTCTCTCTCTCTCTCTCACTGAGGATTAAACCCAGGGCCTTCTCATTGAGTTATATCTCCAGATCTTTTAAAACATTTTTTATTTTGAGACAGGGTTTCACTAAGTTGCTAAATTGCCCAGGCTGGGCTCAAACTTGCAATCTTTCTTCCTCCTCCTCCCAAAGTGCTGAAGTGCACCAATAGGCCTAGCTTTTTCTTCTTCTTTTTCCTTTTTTTTTTTTCTGCAATTGGCAATACTTCTGTTATTTGCTACGAGGAACTGGACCACAGGCCCTGGCCTGGACCTCTGGAGACAGAAGTCTAGTTAATCACGGGGCCTCTATGTGGAGTTTCCTCAGAGTCCATGCTCACATGTCTGTTCAGTGTCTAAGGGTGACTTGTCCCTAGTCCTACCAACATCCACCCCACCTCAGGGTCCTTACTCTCTGCCCATAGTTCATGCTCTGCAGGGCCCTGCTCCCTGCTCTCTGGTTCATCTGTGCTGCAGTTTACACCAAGGGTAGCAAAGATCTCAGGGCTTTGAGGAGGAGCCATGTCCTTGGCAAGTGTGGAGTCTGTGACAAATGTAGATGTTTCAGTCAATTTAACCAGTGCTCATTTACATAAACACCAGGAGCAGATGGAGCAGTGTGTTAATTTTTGGCTACCTGAGGTAGGCTACTTGGGAAGAAGAAAGTTTATTTAGCTCACAGTATGGAAGGCCAAGGTCATGGTGCATGCACAGCTCTGGTGAGGGCCCTCTTGGCTGTGTCCCATCATGGTGTACAGCAATGGCAGGAGCAAAAGATTACATCTTGATATCAGAAGCCAGAGAGCTGCGTGGGGTTGGGCTTGCTCTCTTTATAGAAACCTTCTCTCCAGCACTAACTCAGAATCCCACTTGAATCACTCTAAGCCCTGCCACAACAACCTAAGGATCTCTTAAACCATGAAAGCATGAAACCATGAGCCCCTGTGGTTGATGTGAACACTTCCTCCTTCCCTCCTTCCCTCCTTCCTTTCTTCCTTCCTTCCTTCCTCCTTCCTTCCTTCCTTTCCTGAGGATCAAACCCACGTATATTCATACCACTGACCTATATCCCCAATCCCCAGCCCTTTTTTATTTTTTTATTTGAGCAGGATCATTTTAAGTTGCCCACTCTGGCCTTAAATTTGTGATTCTTTTACCTCACCCTGAGTATCTAAGATTACAGGTTTGCCCAGTTTAATTTTTTTCCATGCTGGGGATTGAACCCAGAAACTTGCACATGCTATTCAAATGCTCCACCACTAAGCTACATTCTAAGCCTGATTTCCTCTTTCTTTCCATGGGTCTGTCCTTGAGTCAGTGGTGGTTCCTGCTGCTTCAGCTGGATTATAAGATGCAAGTTCAGAATTTAGAATGTGCTGAGCCAGCGCCTTCTCTGAGAGAGGGGAGGAAGGAAGAAGAGGCATTTATCTTACATATGACCTGAGATGGTGCTGGTCTAGCTAGGTGGCTTGGTGAAAGAAAGTTAGGGAGAGGACAGTAGGATAATATTCCAGGCACTGTAGGGATTGAATATGAGAAGCCAGCTCATTTGTTTTTTCCTAAGAATTTCTCAAGCCTTCTAAAAAATAGAAATTCCCTTTTCTCCACCCATCAGAACATCTTACAAATTTTGTATCTGTGCTAAAAGCTTGCCGTGCTGAAGGAAACCAGGGAACCATCCCAGGCTCTTGGGTAGATGTTGGGAGGGAGTGAGGAGGAGGATCCATCCTAGGGGCTCCTGTCCCAGGGATGTGTAGGAAAGTTGCCGGTCAGCACACTGCACAAGCAGCTGCTTCACAGCAAATCTGGATAGCAATGGGACATAGACCGAGGCACAGGCACTCCATCTAACAGACATTTTCTGGGTACCTCGGATAAAATTCAAAGCTAAATAAGACCTGGACTTGCTATTGTGGAGGCACAAGTCAGAGGAGGAAGCAGGTACCTAAGTAGATGTGAAGACATTGACTTGTTCACCCCACCCGGCAGGCAGGACGCATGCCTGGGGAAGGGCTGTTATTCTTTTTAAGGTCAACAGCTCAGCAGAGGCCACCTTCTGCTACCATGATCACAGTGTCTTTGTCTTCAATAGGCCACATAAGTCTCCAAATGAAGTCTGTAGCTGCTCTACGCTCCCACAACACTGTAATTCTTTTGGAGACCGTTCATTCATTCATTCATTCAAATTCACTCACTCAAATGATGTTCACGGAGTGCCCACCAGATGGCAGGCAGCACACTGCATGTCAGAGCTGGGGACTGCAAGTCTCCAAGGTGGGGAGAACAGTCCCATAAACAAACTTCATGCCTTAAAAGAAAGAACCAAATCAGTGATGTGTATTCAGAGGCAGAGCAGAACACTGCTGGGTTGTGCACATGTGTGACGAGCCAGGAGAGAAGAGCTGTGGGTTGTTTACCAAAAAGGACTGATGGGTTCAACATCTTCCTTGGGAATTCACCAGCACCATTCTGACCACAAGGGCATCAGAAGGTGCTGACGTCAGGAATGGGGAGTAGGCTGTAGCTAAGCTTCCTGATGCCCCTCCCGATGTTCCTGCCGCAGCTTCCTCCTGCTACCCTGGGACAGGTCTGGCTTTGGTGGACCTCAAGTAGTGTCCCAGCTATGCCCTGGGCTGGAGCCACCACCTGGAACAACAAAGCTGGTTGTTCCCCTGTGATTGCCCTCTGATTACCTGAGTGACTCACAGGAGGTAGTAGACAGCCTGGGGCTCTGATTCAGGGCTACTCCAGATGTTCAGATCCTGCTAGTGCAAGGAGGGAGGAGCTGCTCCCACAGTGTTAGGACTGTTCTGTTTATCTGACAAAGGCCACAGAAAGGCCATCAAGGAGGAGGAAAGGAAAAGCAGGAGAGATACATATTTTTGGGCAGGTCTCCATTAGATAGTTGATAAAGAGCACATTCTCCTTGGGGAAAGCAAGGTACATTCTCTCCTTAAGGTGCCATTTTTCCCAGACAGCAGGGGGAGCCCAGATAAACATGGAGGGCTGAACACAGGCTATGTGATGAGCCTGCCACCCCTACCATGTCCCCATGCACATATGCCCATGCTCAAGGGGTCAACAAGAATGGCCAAGAGGGGAATCCTGATTGAACTTTTCCTTGACTTTGGCAAATTCAGAAGTGTGGGGAGTGGGGAGTGCACTCAGGGAGGGGTTGGAAAAGGTAGGCACAAGGTTTTTATGCCCCCTGTGACCCCCTTTTTGTTCTGCACTACCTGGTAACTTCTCCCACTGCCCTTACCCCCTCCTTGAAAAAGATCTAAAGTTTTTTCTGTGAAGGCTTGTTATAACCCTAGCGTCCAGAGATAACATTAATCTCAAGGGCAGGGGAGGAGAAAGGAGGGAAGTTCACAAGAGTGCAAAGTTTTCAAACTCCCACCCAGGGGTCCCACCTGTCAGGTGGTCCCTTGTTGATGTGAGGGGGTCACTTTCCTGTGCTGGTGTGGGGCATCAACGCCAGAGCAACACTGCCTCAGGCACAAGCATTAACTTGGGGTTCTGTGTCCTTTCTGAAAGGATTTCTGCCTCTAGCCCTCTGCCTTTGTGTTTTGTGGCCCTTTTTGCTGTGAACCAGGCCTGGACAAAAGCACAGGCCTTGCTACCTATGTCCTCCCCACCACCTAGGAGTTCCACACACACCAGGAAGTTGTCTTGGGATTTACCAGGAGCATCAGCAAGATTGACTATGGATGACAGTTGGCCTGCCACACTCATGGATCCTTTCAGTCCACCCAGAAAACCCCAGAACCACTTACAGCACTTCTTGCTTGAGAAGTTCTTACTAACACATCATTGACTTTCCCCCTAATCGTGGAATCCATCCTTCAGGGCGCAGATCAATTCCTCCCTCCATAATGAAACCTTCTCTGTTAACCCCCACTTACCATCATCTTCTCCCTCCCCCAATATGTTCACAGTAGTTAATGAACCTTGTCTGTGACTTCCTGCATGCCCCTCATCATGCTCTCACCAGAGGCTGGCAGTGGGGAGCATAACACAGCACCTTCTATCCCTCAGAGTTGCCTCTAGTGCAGTCGAGAAGACCTACGTATATACACAAATGGATTCACATATGGTTCCCTGAGAGACTAAAAATAAGTAGTCGGGGCTGGAGGAGAAAACACTGCATTTACCCTAAGGGGGTCATAGGGAAAGCCCTAGATGGCATCCTGAAAATGACTTCCTTAAATGCACAAAAATTGGATGGTGGGGGGTTAGGAGGCCGCTGTAGAAAACGACTGGCATGGAGATGGAAATGGTGGATGGATGTGCAGAGAACTCCAGGAGCTGGCACCACCAGGGCGTGTCCCCTGTGTGGGACACAACTTTGAGTTGGTGCTATGGACACCTGCGCTTCCCTGCTCCCAGCTCTTCTGGCTTTGGCAGCTGTCCGCCCAGGGCCATCTGTAGATGATAGCCTGGGGAGGGCACAAGACGTAGATGCGGAGATGTAATCACCCGTTACTAAGCCAAAAGTCAGCCACCCTAGATTTCCCATGCACAGGTGGCCCTGTCACCTTGTGCCCAGCTCAACACCAAGATGTCTTGTGTGAACCTTAGTCTCACGAGGAACTCCTGGAAATACTGTCTGCCTGACAGGTGACAGAGCTGTTTTCCTCTGCAAACTCATCAAAGAGGTGGGTGAAAGCTCAGCCTAGAGAAAAACATCAGGAGGTGGAGTTGCATGTCAGGGATGCCACCCAGCAAGGCTGAAAAGAAGATAAAAGAAGAGAGAGGGGAGTGTCTCCTGGGACCTTGGGTGGTGCCCAAGAAGGCTCTATTGATCTTTTCAGCCAGCACCTCTCCTGCTACACTCCAAGAGAGCCTACTCAGCCTCCCAGAAGAGGGCTGTGGCTTGTGCTTGGGTTTCCTATGAATAC